CACGGGCTGTTTGGGATCCTGCATCCAGGGCCTCACGGCCTGGCTGGCCCGACAGCGGGTATGGGGAGACCGGGACTTTGGGCTGGGAGACAGTGCAGATCTAAGACACCTCTCTGGGTGACCCCAACTATGACAAAGTCAGGGATGACAGCTGAGCTGTCTGGGTCACTGACAGATGTCCACCGGGAAGGGCTTTTTCCGGAGGGGACCAAGGGAACCCAGCTGTTGGTCAGCTCTGGGCTTCTGGTGCAGAGATCGGTTGCGTCCCTGGGCTGTATCCACCGCCTGACAGATCTGCTGTCCCAACTGACAGACGCTGCTCCCCTCCCCCTCCTCCTGACAGACACACCGCAGTAAGGCACTTCCACTGTTAAACACAGCTGTCCCCAGCCTTCAAAAGGCTTATCCAGCCTTAAAAAGGACAGACATCCTGACACCTGCTACGACGTGATAAACAGTGACATAAGCCAGACGTGATAGGTCAAGTCCTGTGTGACCCCACTCATGGGAGGCCCCCAGATTCAGGAGCCAGATTCAGAGACAAAGAATAGATGGTGGGCCAGGGCCTGGGGGAAGGGAGGGGAGTAAGTGTGTAACGGGGACAGAGTGTCTGTCAGTCTGGGACGATGAGAGCGTCCTGGAGGTGGACGGTGGGGACGGCTGGACGACATGTGAGTGTGCCTAAGGCCACTAAGCTGGACACTTAACAGTGGTTAGGATGGTGAATTTTGTGTGCACTTTATCACAATTTTAAAAAACTCTTAAGAGGGTGGTGCTTTCCTGGGGGCCCCCCGCCCCGTGGGGAAGGTGCCAGACCTCGGCCACAGAGACACCCCAGCCCTGTGAGGCAGCCCCGCCGTGGGGAAGGGCTGCTGGCTCTGGCGCACAGTCCGAGCAGCATGACGCCCATGGGGAGTCCCCCTCCGTCTCCCGCACAGCAAGGGACCCACTTCCCCATCAGGACCGCGTTTCTGCGGGTTCCCTCCAAGGCAGCTCGCGGGCAGGAGCATGGCCAACTCACCTGATGCACCGGGGCCCAGGGCAGCGGGCGGCCGGCAGCCATGCTCTCCTCTCCAGAAAATGCAGGCTCCTGAGAGGGCAGAGCTGCGCGGGGAGAAAGGTGCGGTCACGGTGGGGACCGGACCCACGCCTGTCCCCGGGCCCCAGAACCCGCGCCGCCCTCCGTGCGGTCGAAATCCGCGCGTAACTTCTGAGTCCCCAAAAATTCAACTAGTAGCCCGCTGTCGGGCCGGAGGCCACGCCGAGCACATAACGGTGCATGAACACATATTTTGTGCGTTATGTGGGTTACACACTGCAAAGTAAGCTGGAGGGAAGAAAACGTTATTAAGAAAATCACGAGGAAAATACACTTGCAGTACTGCACGATTTTCCAAAAACCCTGTATGAGCAACAAGCGCAGTTCAAACCCGCGCTGTTCAAAGGTCAACTGAGCAGTCACGTTCTGTGAACTTGTTGGGGGGGACACCATTCGACCCAGTATGACCCCTGGACCCACATTCTGGAAGGCTCCGTCCTGACCCCGCGGGTGCCCCGTCCCCTGCACGTCTCCGATGGCTCAGGGACCGGCCTCTGGGCTGCAGCAGGAAGGACGCAGACGGGCCTGCCACTGACGGCCGGAGCGCGAGGTCCCGAAACCCGTGGGGGGTCCTCGGCTCCCACGCAGCCCCAGGACGTCCTTCCGTCCCCTGCTGGGTGGCAGGGCGCTTTCTCTCCCTGGCCCAGTGTCGGTCAGGCCCCTCTCAGCCCCCGAAGCAAGCGGGCCTCAGCCACTGGGCTTCCGAGGTCGTCTCTGCATCTAGTTTTAGCAAGAACTTGCTATGTCACTTTAGGGAGAGCCACCCACACCCCCACACACCGGTCACTTTAGGGAGAGCCCCCACGCACACTGGCTGCGCCACCCTCCCTCCCCCAGGCGATGGCGGTCACCGGCCTGCCACAGCACGAATCCTGTTAGCTGCTGTAGCCAGAATGTCCCCGGTGGTTCCTCTTAGCGATGGGCCATCCACTGACCCCACCTGCTCCTCTGCCTTAAGTCCCCGCTGGCCCCCGCTGTGCTCAGAGCTGGGCCTAGACTCACGCTCAGCTTTCTTATCCTGTGACAAGAGCTCCCGCCTGTTTCCACCAATGATGGCTGTCGCTTCTGGTTTTCGGATAGAAGCCCGAGGTGGCCCTGCTTCCTCCTCGCGGTGAAGTCTCTTGTCAACGGCAAACCCTCACGCAGACTCCGGGTAATGAGCTGGGGTCGTGTACTGGACACCTCACCGTCGTGACCTGTATTCTCGGGTGAGCCCTTCCAAGGTCACCTCCTCGGAAGCAGACGTGGCCATGGGCATGCCCCAGCAGCGGGAATTCCCACAAAAGACCCGCGGACTGCAAGACGCCGGCCATCTGCAGAGCTGCAGTTACGCCCTCAAAATATTTACTAACGACTGTCGTGGTTTGAATGTGTGTCCTCGGGAAATCCTTCGCTGCCCCTTCCTCGGGGCAGCTGACTTAAGCCCCCTCCCCTTTGGCGAGGACTGACCCGGCGACTGGCTTCCTGCCAACCCGCAGAGAAGGGGAGAGAGAGACTGCGAGCGGGGACTCCTGGCGGGCCCCGCCTTCACCAGCGACGCTGTGAGGGCAGCAGGTGTCCCCTGGTACGACACGAGGACCACGCCTCACCTCTGGGGCTTCTTCTCCGGAACCTAGAACCCCGGGGTAACCCTAAGAAGACGTCAGAGTCAACCTGAGGGGCATTCTACAAAATCCCCGACTGCCATGAAGACAGAGAAACCCTCCAGGGGGAGGGGCCGAGGACAAGGGATGACTGAATGTCACCTGGACCCCAGATGGGGTCCTCGACCAGAAAGAGGTCGTGAACGGAAAGCCTGGTGAAATCTGAATAAAATTCGTAGTCTGGCTAATGCCACGGGACCCGTGTTAATGTCATAGTTGTTCTTCTGGGTTTTGGTTTTATCTCGTGGTTAGAACTCGCACGGTGAGATCTGCCCTCACAGCAAGCTGTTAAGTAAGTGGCCGGGTCACTACTGCTGGCTGTGGTGTGATGCTGGCCAGCGGGTCTCCAGGGCTTACTCATCTCTCTTGACTGACACGTCACGCCTGTTGATTGACAGCTCCCCACTCTCCGCTCCCCAGTCCCTGGTAACTACCATTCCAGTTAATGCCTTCGTTTTGATAAATGTTCCACAATATTAACATTGGGAAATGTGAAGACCTAACAGATGGCCAACAGACTTATAAAAAAGATGCTCAGCATCGCTAAACACCAGAGAAACGCAAATCAAAACCACAGTGAGATCTCACCTCACACCTGTCGGAACAGCCGTCGTCAGTACATCAACAAACGACAAGTGCTGGCAGAGATGAAAAAAGGGGACTTCATGCGCTGCTGGCGGGACTGCGAATGGCTGCGGCCACTACGACAAACAGTCTGGAGGTGCCTCGGAAAATTAAAAACGGAACTACCATATGATCCAGTATTTAGCCAAAGAAATCCAAAAACACTAATTCGAAAAGACATATGCACCCCTGTGTGCACTGCAGCGTCACTAGTAACAACCGAGATATGGAAGTGACCTGGGTGCCCGTGAATAGACAACTGGATAAAGAAGGGGTACATATACACAGTGGACTATCACCGTAACAAGAATGACATCTTGCCATGTGCGACACTGATAAACCTAGACAGCATTGTGCTCAGTGAAATAAGGCAGATAAAGACAAATGCCGTATGATTTCACTTATATGTGGAATCTACAAAAAAACCAAAGGAATAAACAAAACAAACAGATACATCGATACAGAGAACAAGCTGATGGGTGCCCAAGGGGAAGGGATGGAAATTTTTTTAAATTAACATTTGAAGATGCATTCACAATGGGGTGCCGACACCCCTAAGGTGCTGCGAATGGATTCTTGGAGAGTGGGCAAGAGGGAAAAATAACTTCTTCTTTTTCGGTATAAAGGGCCGATGTATACACAGCACAGAAGTAGATATATAGTATTTCTGTCATGATAGGCTAAACCATGTCCCCCTAATGCACGTATTGACGCCCTGAGCTCCAGGACCTCCGAATGTGGCTGTTTGGAGAGGGGATCTTTAAAGAAGTCATTGAGGTAACATGGGACCTAATCTGACACAACTGGTGTACTTACAAGCAGACATAAGGACACAGACATGCACAGAGGGACACCAAGTGAGGACGCGGGGAGAAAGTGGCCGTCTACATGCCAAGGACAGAGAGGCCTGGAGGGACCAGCCCTGGATCACCGATTCCTGGCCTTCGAATATGAAAGGATAAGTGGCCGCCCCAGGAAGCCATAGAAACACCAAAGGCGGCTCCTTGCCCTAGCCTGCTGTCTAGGGGCTTCACACTGGGATTTCTGAAGCTGGGGGGCGGGGGTACAACCCTGCCCCCCACACTGCGTAGGACTCCTTCTTTGCTCTTGGGGCTTTAAATGCAACTCTGTCAATGGGTCCAAGCCCTCCAGCCCCTTCCCACCATTTCCAGACCAACTGCCCCCCCCTGCCTGGACTTCATGGGACCCTCCTCCCTAGTGACTGATGTCAACGGCCCCCTCAACACCCCTCTTCCAGGCAGGCCTGTGGCATCTGGCTCACGATCTTCCCTTTCAATGTTCAAACCACCGAAACTCGTCCTTTCTCCACAAGAAAGGCCTGATGAGCACGCCCCGCGGGGAAGGGGAGGGTCGGTGAGCTGGCGACGGCCAGCTGCTTCCTGAGTCTGTCATAAACGGAGTGGGCCCTGAATCTCACCAGAATCAATGCCAAGGCCTAAGGCAGGGTCCCTGTGGCACTGGGGACACCAGGGCCCGGTCGTCCTCTGAAGAGACAGTCCTGGACACAGTGAGGTGTTGAGCAGCATCCCTGGCCCTGTCCAGGCGCCCCCCAGTCGTGAGGACCACAGATGTGCCCAGACACCGCCCAGGCTTTCCTGGGGGGCAGGATCGCCCCGCCTGCGGACCCTTGGCCTCGCCCAAGGGGCCGAGAGAGTCTGGGCGTCCCGCCCCCCACTCTGCTTTACAGCGAAGGGCTTCCCCCCAGTTCCCTTTAACGTCCGGCCTCCGGGAGCGTGGTTCACGTCGCAACAGCGTTTATCCCGCGGGTCTGTCGCTCAGGGGCTTTTTCTCAGTGCTGGGTGGCCGTGGGCAAGCTGCCCGGCCTGACTTTCCTCTGTCGCCTGCAGAGTGACAGGTGGCGCAAACGCCAAGCAGAGCACCCAAGGCCACCCCTCCCGCCCCGGGGCCAGACTCGAGGTCCGAACCGCCGCCGACCACTTACGGCTGCGCGGCCCGGACGCGGGTGTC